CTACTCAGATATCTGGTACAGCTGGTCTACTCAGATATCTGGTACAGCTGGTCTACTCAGATATCTGATACAGCTGGTCTACTCAGATATCTGGAACAGCTGGTCTACTCAGATATCTGGTACAGCTAGTCTACTCAGATATCTGGTACAGCTGATCTACTCAGATTACTGGTACAGCTGGTCTACTCAGATATCTGGTACAGCTGGTCTACTCAGATATCTGGTACAGTAGGTCTACTAAGATATCTGGCTGGTCTACTCAGATATCTGGTACAGCTGGTCTACTCAGATATCTGGTACAGCTGGTCTACTCAGATATCTGGTACAGCTGGTCTACTCAGATATCTGGTACAGCTGGTCTACTCAGACTTCTGGTACAGCTGGTTTACTCAGATATCTGGTACAGTTGTTCTACTCGGATATCTGGTACAGCTGGTCTACTCAGATATATGGTACAGCTGGTCTACTCAGATATCTGGTACAGCTGGTCTACTCAGATATCTGGTACAGCTGGTCTACTCAGATATCTGGTACAGCTGGTCTACTCAGATATCTGATACAGTTGTTCTACTCGGATATCTGGTACAGCTGGTCTACTCAGATATCTGGTACAGCTGGTCTACTCAGATATCTGGTACAGCTGGTCTACTCAGATATCTGGTACAACTGGTCTACTCAGATATCTGGTACAGCTGGTCTACTCAGATATCTGGTACAGCTGGTCTACTCAGATATCTGGTACAGCTGGTCTTCTCAGATATCTGGTACAGCTTGTCTACTCAGATATCTGGTACAGCTGGTCTACTCAGATATCTGGTACAGTTGGTCTACTCAGATATCTGGTACAGTTGGTCTACTCAGATATCTGGTACATCTGGTCTACTCAGATATCTGGTACAGCTGGTCTACTCAGATATCTGGTACAGCTGGTCTACTCAGATATCTGGTACAGCTGGTCTACTCAGATATCTGGTACAGCTGGTCTACTCAGATATCTGGTACAGCTGGTCTACTCAGATATCTGGTACAGTTGGTCTACTCAGATATCTGGTACAGCTGGTCTACTCAGATATCTGGTACAGCTGGTCTACTCAGATATCTGGTACAGCTGGTCTACTCAGATATCTGGTACAGCTGGTCTTCTCAGATATCTGGTACAGCTGGTCTACTCAAATATCTGGTACAGCTGGTCTACTCAGATATCTGATACAGTTGTTCTACTCAGATATCTGGTACAGTTGTTCTACTTAGATATCTGGTACAGCTGGTCTACTCAGATATCTGGTACAGCTGGTCTACTCAGATATCTGGTACAGCTGGTCTACTCAGATATCTGGTACAGTTGGTCTACTCAGATATCTGGTACAGCTGGTCTACTCAGATATCTGATACAGCTGGTCTACTTAGATATCTGGTACAGCTGGTCTACTTAGATATCTGGTACAGCTGGTCTACTCAGATATCTGGTACAGCTGGTCTACTCAGATATCTGGCTGGTCTACTCAGATATCTGGTACAGCTGGTCTACTCAGATATCTGGTACAGCTGGTCTACTCAGATAACTGGTACAGCTGGTCTACTCAGATATCTGGTACAGCTGGTCTACTCAGATATCTGGTACAGCTGGTCTACTCAGATATCTGGTACAGCTGGTCTACTCAGAGAATATTCTAGTTAGTATGTGTGTACTCACCTCCCAACTACGTCGCTACAAGTTAAAAAAAAAATCTGGTACAGTTGTTCTACTTAGATATCTGGTACAGCTGGTCTACTCAGATATCTGGTACAGCTGGTCTACTCAGATATCTGGTACAGCTGGTCTACTCAGATATCTGGTACAGCTGGTCTACTCAGATATCTGGTACAGCTGGTCTACTCAGAGAATATTCTAGTTAGTATGTGTGTACTCACCTCCCAACTACGTCGCTACAAGTTAAAAAAAAAATCTGCAAATCGTTGAGTAATAGCTCGCATGGTCAGGTGTAGTGTGGAAGTATTAAACTGCTGCTGATTTAATACTTTTATAGAAATTAATAAGGTATCTGTTTCTATGTTACGACAATCTAAATGTTGAATACTGAGATAATATAATTTAATGTGTCGGTATAGTTTTTTTTAAATGTCAAATTCTTTTGTATTAAATAACAATAATAATATGTGGAAAGTAAAACATGAAATTATGACAGTATTACCCTTGGATTGCTTTCGGATATTAATTTTGTTTACAAAATTTGTGTTTTGCTGAGTTAATGAAAACATCCGGTAGCTTAACCTAATTCACAGTACATTAATTACCTAAACGTTCTTGGCACGTAAAGAGGTTTAGCGGACCGTTAGCACATAACATATCTAACAGGGCTGAAATGTTAAACATAAACATTAAAAAAAATTCATAAAAAACGTTTTAATAACAAGCTTTTATGTAACAATGCACTAAAAAGTAGAAAATAAATTATAGACTACTATTTAAATAACTATAAAGAAAAGCGTGGGTCACTTTAGTATCTATTGGATACCTTTACTAATGTTAAGGAAGACACCCACGCTTTTCTTTATAGTTATTTAAATAGTAGTCTATAATTTATTTTCTACTTTTTAGTGAATTTTTTTTTCAGTACTTTACATGTTTTATTTACAATAGAGTTACATGACTAAAAAAAATTCATAAAAAACGTTTTAATAACAAGCTTTTATGTAATGATGCACTAAAAAGTAGAAAATAAATTATAGACTACTATTTAAATAACTATAAAGAAAAGCGTGGGTCACTTTAGTATCTATTGGATACCTTTACTAATGTTAAGGAAGACACCCACGCTTTTCTTTATAGTTATTTAAATAGTAGTCTATAATTTATTTTCTACTTTTTAGTGCATCATTACATAAAAGCTTGTTATTAAAACGTTTTTTATGAATTTTTTTTTCAGTACTTTACATGTTTTATTTACAATAGAGTTACATGACTAAAAACCATTGCGCGCCTACTGAACATCACGTTCAGTAGGCGCGCAATGGTTTTTGAACGCAGCCATTACGTGATGGCGCAGCTATTGAAGGTGATGACGCGTGTGGTGTGGTTGGCTAGACATGCCTACTAATTCGGTCCAAATTTTAATTAATTCATTAAAAATCAATTAGGTATCCAATTAAGTCAAATTTAGTTTCAGATTGCATTGTCTTCATGTCTTGACCCACGTGCCAAATGTGAATCGTATCGGTCAAGTAGAACTGTCCGAATTTTCACTCCTGCGTTTCCGTCTGGACTGACGACAGAGGAAGTGAGTTAAATAAAAGCTTGTAAAAACCATTGCGCGCCTACTGAACATCACGTTCAGTAGGCGCGCAATGGTTTTTTGAACGCAGCCATTACGTGATGGCGCAGCTATTGAAGGTGATGACGCATGTGGTGTGGTTGGCTAGATATGCCTACTAATTCGGTCCAAATTTTAATTAATACATTAAAAATCAATTAGGCATCCAATTAAGTCAAATTTAGTTTCAGATTGCATTGTCTTCATGTCTTGACCCACGTGCCAAATGTGAATCGTATCGGTCAAGTAGAACTGTCCGAATTTTCACTCCTGCGTTTCCGTCTAGACAGACTGACGAGGAAGTGAGTTAAATAAAAGCTTGTAAAAAGAAGGTTAATTTAAAACAATGCACATTAATTAAGCCCGCCTCAGGTTTAATCCTTGCTACTGAGAAAATGCGACGGTGTGGCCTAGCGTAAAGTCGCGAGGACGAATCCGGGTTCAAGTCGGTAGAACGTCCCTGACCCCATCAACCTCAGATGGGTACCTAACTTAAGTCAAGGAAAGTAACGGCGGCTGAACATAGTACTGACAACACGACTCCTTCAAATGCCAAGGTCACAGAAACAGGTGAACTCTACTTCACTTGCCCCATGGACAGTCGGTTTCTAAAGGATACTTTTAAAAAAAGTAAATGCACATAAATCCGGTTGGATTCTTGCTACTACTCTTACAGTAAACAAACTAAACGTTTAGAATAATTAACGGTTAGATAACACGCTTGTAAAAATTTGAAAACTAAATATTAAGTAGCCAAAGAACCTGAATAACATTGAAACTTACATTTTTTATAGACATATATATCTTATTAACCAGCTCGTTTTAACTAAAAATTGTAATTTTTATACATGATTTAACATTAAAATTTGAAGATTTTGTAAGTGCCTGGAAATATAAAACATTACAGAGAAGTGACAGTAATTAAACAAACTTGTAGGATTTTTGCAAGCGACAAACCCTTGCACAGAGGCGTCGCAAGGCGGGGGCGGAGGGTGGGGACCGCACCAGGTCACACCATAAAAGGAGGGTGGGGTGACACGAAGACCAAAAAAATGCAAGATTTATCGAATATATGTCTTTTTCGGTGAATGGTTAATTAGAGTTGAAAACTATTTTAAGCACATAATTACCATCCTGACAAGGGTTGGGGGGGGGGGGGGGTGACACCATTATGCAGTGTTTCATCCAGACTTTTTTCTCCGGGGGGGGGGGGCACTTAAATTTTCGGGGGGCCGGTGGACTTTCTTCGGGGGGGGGGGGGACACTGTTAAAAGTATATATTTTCTATATAAATTATACGAATTTCATTTCGTTCGGGTGGGGGGGGGGGGCGATAGAATTTTTTCGGAGGGGGTTCGCCCCCCCTCGAAGAGATGCCTGGAAGAAACTCTGCCATTATGTTTACACGCAAACTATAGAGAAAACAATGCTACACCCAGCTGTATTAACAATAACAACTGATTATAGGTAAACATCATTAGTATTAAATATGAACACTTTAATAATAAAGCTTTTACCTGGGTGGGCCAACTGCAAAATTTACAGAGAAAAAAAGGTGGGGTGACACCATGAGGTGCCACCTTGGATTACACCCCACCTAGCGACGCCACTGCCCTTTACTTGATATATATAGACTTGATAGGCTTGCATTCACTTGTTTGATCTACAACCCCACTATTTGATCCCCAGTCTCTGTGAGTAGTGAAGGACAAATTGGCACCTGTGCTGAGATGTGTGGGCACAGCAGGATCCTGAGATCTATCGGGAGTGGCGGGTGTCCCGTGGGGTACGAGTGCAGGTCCAATGGGTGTGGTCATTCCTGTCAGCCAATAGCCAATCGGTGAGCAGTTTTTTACTTGTTTTGCGTTAGAGCAATATTTGACTTGACCAGAGTTAGAGCAATATTTGACTTGACTAGAGTTAGAGCAATGTTTGACTTGACTAGAGTTAGAGCAATGTTTGACTTGACTAGAGTTAGAGCAATGTTTGACTTGACTTGAGTTAGAGCAATATTTGACTTAATAAATTGTAGCAACAGGAAAAAATAATCCCCATTTTTGTTTCTTTTTACTCTTTAGTAAACACACGCGCACACATGCACAAACAGACCTACGAACAAACATAAACAAACAGATAGAAAAACACATACATATAGAAACGAAACCCATATGCACAGACAAAACTACTTACACACATATATATATACAAACAGACTGACATACACGCGTGCATTAACACTTACAGACAATAAATCAAACACACCTGAAACAAATATATCCCTATATAAGAACAGTATACACACAAATTCATTAAACATATATATAACCTTCTCCGACACAGATTCACATACATAATATACAAGTATGATTTATCATTATATTTATTCATCTCTCTTGTGAATAAACACCCTACCTCATAAATATTAACTTCAACATTTTATTAAGATAACAATTGAAAGTTTCTATTCTCCATATTTTCACAGACCCAGAGGCGTAGCCAGGGCGGCGCGGGAGGTGCGGACCGCACTGGGTGACACCATTTAGGGGGGTGACACCAAAGCAAAAAAAAAAAAAAAGCAAAATGTACAGAAGAAAAATGCTCTATTGCTAGTTTCATTAATGATCAATTAAAGTTGAATAGTCTTTTAAGTACAATTGACAACTGTACAAGAGGGTGGGGGTGACACCATGACGTAAGCGTGCTAACTATAGATAAAACAATGCTACATCCAACTACATAATTAATAGACTTTAGATCTGTAACATCGTTACTATTAAGTCTGCAATGATTAAAGCTTAAACACATACCACATGTACGTGTATTTAAATTATAGGCCAATGTAGGCCGACACATACACACACATACACACACACACACACACACATATATATATATATATATATATATATATATATATATATATATATATATATATATATATATATATATATATATATATATATATATATACTTTATTTCTTTGGGGAGGGGGTGACACTATTAAGTGCCGCACCGGGTGACACCCGACCTAGCGACGCTACAGACGCTTCAACGGCCTATATGACACATAGCATCACTAGATTAAGAACGATGAAGAAGAAAGTAGAGACAAAAAAAATATTTTGCACGATTAAACGATTACATTTTACAAGATTCTCTCAATACTCCGTATACGATCAGTATGTTTTCTATATAAATTCCATTTTGTTCGGGAAGGGGGGGGGGGCGGTAAACTTCCGTTCGGGGGCTCGCTACCCCCCCCCCCCCCCCTCCAGAAGAGATGCCTCGAAGAAACACTGTATACGATACAGTGAAAATGACAGTGGCATAGTTTCTAAACTATTACGATTTTTTAATCTTCAAAATTAGCATAAAACAATTGAGTTACAACCCATACACGTAATTTAAAAAGCCAAGGGAAAATACCCGTAATTATACAATTCAGAATTACTACAGCAGAGAATGATTCATTAATAACAAAATAAAATAGGGACTTCTTTTTTTTATAAATAAAATTAGTAAAATAAAAAATATCTTATTACTTTTGTGTATAATTGATGTAGTTTGTGAATCTTAGATTTACTTTACGAACCTAATCCCAAAGTAAACCCTTGCAATGTTTAACACTTAATACTTATGTAAATTGAATAGTGGTTTATTACATATTAATATTTTTGAAGTTGTCTCTTTGATCCAGATTCAGTTAAAACAATATCGAGTCTTCTGTTTCCCAGGTTTTTAAAAATGCACAACCTGAATGGTAGAAAGAGATACACACCTCACCCCCCCCCCCCCACACACACACACACACACTTCCCCCCACTCAACCGGACTGGCGGATTTTTCAAGGTAGCGTGCCCTCATCGCCAAGGGTCCATTTTATGTCATGGAAAGTTTTGGAATGATAGATCAGTATGTGTACTGCAGAGACACTTCTCCCACGGTCGTTTCTATTTCTGTCCATGGGTGGCTACAATGTGAACTTTTGACTCCTCAGCTAAGGACAAAGCACAGTAAACTAAGCAGTCAAGAGAAACCTAGTTTGCACACCTTATTTTAGTCTAGTTCTTATGCCATTTTATTTTTCCATTTGATTATTATATATGCAATTGATGTTCATGTCTTTGATGCTGTGTAAAATCTATCAAATAAATAATTATTACTGATTTAAATGTTTAAAACAATTGAATTAATAAAAAACTAAAAAAAAAAAGAAAAAAAAACTAATTGAGGACTGTATAGATATAGATGTTTGAAAGGGAAGAGTGTTTGCTTTTACGTGTCTCATTGTAATAACATAGCTTTTCCGACTGCTTAAAATTTGTATCATTTTAATTCTCTGTAATCCCAACTTCATTTCAGCTCTACTTTAAAAAAAACAAATTCCCCCTCTCGTCCCCCCCCCCTCGTCCCCTCAGCCCACCACGCCGAGAAAAAAAAATCCCTTGAATCATCATTTAATTACACATTTGCATTTTCAGTTTCAGGTTGGTTTTTTAATTTTTATTTTTTCTTTATATTTAGACGTTTTGTATTAGATCTATGTATAAGTAAACCATCTTAAATGAATGAAAGCAGGCTACAAGTAAGAAAGAAATATTACTATTGTAAATCTGTACCAGTCCTCACAAGCCGATGATGAAAACTGAAATACTAAAGCGAACACACAACTGACGCTATAAATTACGTGTCTGAGGCAAAAAAAAAAAAAAGTTAAAACAATATCGGATAGAGGACCAACTAATTATTGGTCAGAAAGATGTATTAAAGTTGTATACGTGTATCAGTCTTAACAAGCCGATTAATGAAATTTGCAGTAATAAAGCAAACTACATGTCTATAAATTACATGTCTGAGACAAAAAAAAAATGGGATTATGAATAAAGTGTCATATAATTTCTCATTTTGTAGAATCTACATACTGTAACAAATACCCAACAAAAATTGAACAAACATTTTAGACTATCATAGTAAAACTTCCATATTTGCATTTCTTTATTTTAATTAGGCCTACATTGATTTAAATGCTTTGATTAACAAATCATTGATCACCCTTTTGTTCTTGTGATGAAACTTTTTGTTCAGGTTTGAATTTATGTTACATAATAACGCACACACACACACGCGCGTATATTATGTTGATGTACTTGCTTATATTTGAAAATAAAAGAATTTAAAAGAAAATATTTTCGGCTACAAAGAATGTATTATAACACTACAACATACTAATCATTATCAACATCTCCGATTAGTAGCGCCAAAAGGTGGGTGTAAAGCGTGAAGTCCGTACGATGTGATACCATTAAGGGATGACACAACGACGAAAAAAATCGTAAAATATTCACAAAATCACACAAAAGAAAATCACACAAAGTGTATAAAAAAAATTCATTTTATTTGCCTAAAATTGAAAGTACAATTTATTCATTGTAATCAATTTTGTTAAGATTCATTCAAAATATTCTTTCCCTTTATGTGTTGTTTTTGTCGTGTAATCTTACTAAAGCTAAATCCTGTGTAATCTTACTAAAGCTAAATCCTGTGTAATCTTACTAAAGCTAAATCCTGGTTCTTTAAAATAAAAGCCTAGACGCTCAATATTGAAAATTGAACAGATGTCTTATATTATGTTTAGCTTATTAAAAACAATTACTAGTCAATTTCTCTCACTCAAATTTGTTTGTACTTGTTTTGACGACAACGAATATGTAAAATAGTTTTTGCTGCAATTTATTTCAATTACAAGATGCTTATTGGTCATTTTAAACATTCTAAAATTATTTTCAGTCTTAATTTATATTAACTATAAGAACATTTTAATGGGAATACACAGTGGCGTAGCGAGGTCGGGTGTCACCCGGTGCGGCACTTAATGGTGTCAACCCCCAGAGGCGTAGCGACCCTTCCCGTGGACAAACTTTCAAGTAATTTTCGATTTGCATCCCCCCCCCCCCCTCAAACTTTCTATTTGCACCCCCTCCCCTCAAATTTGTCTCTATATATTTTGCTCTTTTTTGCCTTGGTGTCACCCCCCTAAATGGTGTCACCCGGTGCGGTCCGCACCCCCACCCCTCCCCCCCTCGCTACGCCTCTGGGAAAACATTAAGACCCTTTCTAAATTTCTGCTTTCGTGTGCACACTAAATACATTTCAGTCCACCTGAACTACCCGCAGTACAGTTCCGTCTAGAGTCTATGAGGGGAGCTGTAGCAGCCAGTCAGTGAAGCGTGTCGGCAGGTAGGAGAGTGGAATATAAATAAACTTGGCGTCCAGGCCAGGTGAGTATCTGGTCCTAGGATACCTGGAGGTCAGGCCGTGGATGTAGTCGTCCACCACAATGTCAAGGTTGGGGTTGGCGTAGGCCTGTGCTTTTGTACACTCTCTCTTAACTGTGAATACCGATCGTTACATAGAAATACAAGATTTGTTCAAAGTTTAAATGTTAATTTTTTTTCTCAAAAAGCCTTAGGCTCGTATACTCTAACACCAGTTTATGGTACGATCTCACTTATACAAGAAAACTAAAATATCTGAGAAATATGTTTATAATAAAAACATAACACATTTTTTCATTGCTCTCTAAAACTGAGCCATCAGAATAATTCACTTCCATCTCATTCTGTGAAGCTATATTATACTCTAGCTTTGTAATAATATTTTCTATATTTCTAATGTTTTTTAATTCATATTTATATTAACCCTTTATCTACTGGCGGTACTTATAAGTACCACTTTAATTAAGCGCTGTTATTATTTTGAATTTAAGACGAATATTTAAAACTACTGATAGAACTAATAGTATTATCTCTCCTAAATCACAAGTCTGTGACGGGATAGATGTTTTTTTTTCTAATTAATATTTTTAATGCGTTAATTTTTTTAATTTTTATAATTTACTATTATTATAATTATTAACGTGGAGATTGTTACATCATACAGCAAAAACGTGTGAAACACTCACAATAAGGAATGAAATTCTGGTAGGTCTCCCTCACTTCATCAGTTGTCTTGTTAAAAGCTATTGTTATTGATGTCAATAATTTTTCAAGTGACAATAAAGATGTCTTGAAAAATCCAGGCTCTATAAGAATGACCTTCACCCCTCTATTGTAGAGTTCACGCCTATATTAATATTAACAATTTTCATGTCAACAATTATATATATATATACATATATATATATATATATATATATATATATATATATATATATATATATATATATATATATATATATATATATATATATATATATATATATATATATATATATATATATATATATATATATATGTATATATATATTTATATATTTATATATTTATATATTTATATATATATATATATATATATATATATATATATATATATATATATATATATATATATCAGAAATTGAATATTTTCAACAATGTGCATCTGAATTCTGACTTACCTTGGAAGATCCATGACTTCCTGAGTATCTGACTTACCTGAGGTCCATATCTGACACCAGAGTAGATCAACGTCTGACTTACCTGAGAAGGTTAGGTCTGACTTACCTGAGAAGGTCCACGTAACCCTCCAATGCAAATTTCGACACCGTGTACGGGGAACATGAATGGGCGATTCTCCCAAGCATGCTCGTTGTTGTAACCAGCCGACCACCCGCCTTCCTTAGAAGAGGTAGAAACGCCTTTGACACGTCCATAGCACCAAACAAGTTGACAGAGAACACCTCGAGATAGTCCTCAGTGTTACAGATTTCACTGGGACCCGCCAAGCCAAATATACCAGCGTTGTTGACCACACCCCACAGACCTGTGGTCAAAAGGCGTTAGAATAACAAACAGACGAGTTGCTAGATGTTAAGTTTTTGTCAATGAATGACATTTTTATTAAAAAGAAAATTATATATATATATATGTATATATATATATATATATATATATATATATATATATATATATATATATATATATATATATATATATATATATATATATATATATATAATTTGCTACGTTTTAATAGAATTTTAAAAATATAGTAGCATTCGAACTTGTAATGGTCAAGTAAAAAACTTGGCACGATCCTTTTTTATCTCAATATTGTTTATATATTTTATAGTAAAATCATGTTCAACTTACACTTTATTAGTCATGATATATTTATTTTTATTTTTTTCTAATATTTTGTTTTTGTTAAACTATAACACGAATGAAAAAAAATGTCTTTCACCTGCAGTATTTCAAGTTGAAATGAAGCTGTAAATCGTTAACACACGGGGAAAAAATGTTTAGTCTCAGACATGGACCAAACTAATTGTACGAGATCATTTTGTTTTACCGGTATAGCTAGTAAAATAATGATTAACCTATGCGACTTGATAAGTTATAGTTAGCTGTAAAAAGAAATGATCTTACCTGACTTCAACTATTGTTGTTGTTTTTTTTTAATTATTATATAAAGGTCATCCCTGGCCTTCTTAAATTAAAAAATTTCATAAAATATGCGCTTGAGGGTAGCGTCCCTTGGATCACTTTCAATAAAGATTTTTTTCAAAAATATGCACCTGAGTGTATGGGTAGCGTCCCTTTGACTACTTTTAAGTGCAGATCTTAAAACTAATCTCTTATGAATTTTCAAATAGTGGGTCCGTCAAAAACACTAGATTTAATGCTCCAAAACTCCCCAAAATTTAGTATTTTTACCGGATCCATTTTTTTAAAAATTCATTAGAAATTATTTTGTTAAATTTTTTAGCTGAGTAGGCCTACCACAAAACATGAAAGAAGATTATGAATTCATTGTTTATTGGACTTAAAATGTATTATTTTATGAATGGTGGAAATCCTACGACGAGGTTAATTTTTAAGATATCCGCCGTTGTCATAGTTAGCAAACAAAATTTACCAATTCTTATTTCTCGTATACGAAGTATAGAGAAAGTATTGTAATCGTACAAAAAAAAAATCGAGATTTTTGCTAATCTCGACGTTTTTTAAACCTCCCTGAGTAGGAAAAACATCGTTTTGCAATCTTGTCCTTATGTCTGTGTGTGTATGTGTGTGTGTGTAGTTGTGTAGGTGTGTCTGTGAACACGATAACTTGATTACCGTTACAGCTAGGTTGATGAAATTTCATTACAATTATTATATCAAATTTGTAGTTCTGTATCAACTTTTCAGCGATTTCTGGTAACCGAAAGTGGAACTTATTCTTTTTTCAACTTTTCAAAAGCCTATAGCTTGAGCACTGTTTCAGATAGATTAATGAAATTTCATATGTAAGTACTATATCTAATTTTTTTGTCTACTGTCAAATTTTGAGTTATTTCCGTTGAACGGAGGTAGTAATTTACGCTCTTTCCGATTTCTCAAAAACGAATGTAAATTTATAAAGTACTAATAATATTCCGCACTATTATACACATATTGTTTGGCGTTTACTTGGTGCGCAATTAAAAATGGATTAAAAATCATGTCTATATCCCGAATCGCCATCCCCCGTAGTGTTATGTAAGAATATTCGAGAAAGTTTAGGGGAGATCACTCCCGGTTTATTTTTAGTGGAAATGCAAATTCGGATGCACCTTAATAAAGCTGTAGAGAAAAAAATTGTTTGCTCTTTAGTATTAAAATGTATTTATTTTTTTACCGGAGCCTACCCTTTTAAAGAATTTCATAAAATATGCACCAGAGTGTATGGGTAACGTCCCTTTGACCAATTTCATTAAAGAATTTTATAAAATATGCACCTGAGTCTATGGGTAACGTCTCTTTCACCAGTTTCAGCGCCTCTTCAATATTTGCTTTTTTCGTGATGTCCAGCGGAATTGTCACAACCCGTTTGGAGCAGTTAGAGCTTAAATATTTTCTTCCTTGATCTGTCAGACATCCAGCAATTACGTGGAAACCTAGGCCGTCTAGACGGCTAAAGGAAACGTGAAAGCTAACATTATGTTATTTATACAGCAAAGTATATAAATGGGCTACGACATTTGGGCTCCCGACTTATGAACTACCGACATTAAGGCTTTCGACAAGTGGGCTAACAACTTATTGGTGCTGATAAAATGACTTCCGACATAAAGGCTCTTGACAAAATGACTTCCGACATATTGGACAATATGTAACCAGTTTACCAACCCACCATCAGCACTAACAGTGTCCTGATAAATAATTAGTGCTTGTGCACTTAGTTAAGTTAATACATCCTTTTACAACTGATAACCCTTTCTACAGCAATAAAAAGAAAAACATAAACAAAACTTACATGGCTAGTCGCTGTCCGAAGCCAGAGTCACATCCGGTAACAAAAACATACTTGTTGCCATAGTTACCGACCTTTAAACACCTGAGAACTCTATCAAAGAACAAATAGGTCGTTGCCAGCAGAATCACACAGCTGACCACATACAACATGACGGAGCGTCCTACCTAGAAGCCAAACGTCAAATAAAATAACCTCTCAGACCTGGCTTCTATAACACACCTATGACTTACACGCTTGGTAGATTTCGATCCAGTTTTTTTTATCTTGCTACCAGTTTGGTGTACTTCCAGCGAATCAGACCGTGGTAAATGTTAAGTGCCGGCCTTACTTAGTGCTGACAAGGCTAGAACGGTATATTTTAACAATTTCATTTATCGAACCGTGACCTTGACCTGTACTTTTGAGTTGTTGGTTGAAAACGGTTTGAGGTATTCTATACACGATCAAAAGTCCCATCGTGTCATAATCATCAATATCTTTTTCCCCTTCGTGACCAAGACACATATGGCAGATGAAGTAGAGTTCACGAGTAAGCCTGCCTGCTTGCCTGCCTGCCTGCCTGCCTGTCTGCCTGTCTGTCTGTCTGTCTGTCTGTCTGTCTGCCTGCCTGCCTGCCTGCCTGCCTGCCTGCCTGCCTGCCTGCCTGCCTGTCTGCCTGTCTGTCTGTCTGTCTGTCTGTCTGTCTGTCTGTCTGTCTGTCTGTCTGTCTGTCTGTCTGTCTGTCTGTCTGTCTGTCTGTCTGTCTGTCTGTCTGTCTGTCTGTCTGTCTGTCTGTCTGTCTGTCTGTCTGTCTGTCTGTCTGTCTGTCTGTCTGTCTGTCTGTCTGTCTGTCTGTCTGTCTGTCTGTCTGTCTGTCTGTCTGTCTGTCTGTCTGTCTGTCTGTCTGTCTGTCTGTCTGTCTGTCTGTCTGTCTGTCTGTCTGTCTGTCTGTCTGTCTGTCTGTCTGTCTGTCTGTCTGTCTGTCTGTCTGTCTGTCTGTCTGTCTGTCTGTCTGTCTGTCTGTCTGTCTGTCTGTCTGTCTGTCTGTCTGTCTGTCTGTCTGTCTGTCTGTCTGTCTGTCTGTCTGTCTGTCTGTCTGTCTGTCTGTCTGTCTGTCTGTCTGTCTGTCTGTCTGTCTGTCTGTCTGTCTGTCTGTCTGAATGATTTAATGTGCCTAATTGATTTAAATTGGCTAAAAGATTTAAATTGGCTAAGTGATTGGCTAAGTGATTTAATGTAGGTTATTGTTCACGTTGGTTACGCTTACTATTTGTATTGTTTTCGTTCGTACAAGCTAAAACTCCTGTTAATAAACTATCAAAAGTCTAATATCAGGCCAACTTAATAAATAGCTTTTAAACTTATCATACGATTCTAGGCATTTTAGTTGCGCCTCCTTTTGCTAAGCGATTGGCTGCCATTTCATCAAGAGCGTATTTAAAAGTACTCCACAGTTTAATCAGCTATTAATTGCTTGCATGAAAGAAGATAATATTGTGAGGTACATTATCACGCCTTATGTATGAAGTATAAAACAGTTTTCAAATAAAGAATATTTTAAAATTAAATAGGCCAATGTTTGAATATCTATATGCTTTGCGTTTATGTTTTTTTTTACTTTCTCGTATATACGAAGAATAGAGAAAGTCTTGTAATCGTGCAAAAAAAACGAGATTTTTACAAATCTCGACGTTTTACACCTCACTGATACGGAAAAACATAATTTTGCAATCTTGTCCGTATGTCTGTGTGTCTGTCTGTCTGTCTGTCTGTCCGTGTGTAAACACGATAACTTGAGTACCGTTACAGCTAGGTTGATGAAATTTCATATATAAGTATTTTATCAAAATCGTAGATCCGTATCAACTTTTGAGTGATTTCCGATAACCGGAAGTGGTACTTTTCTTACTTTGAATTTTTCAAAAGCCTATAACTTGAGTACTATTTCAGATACATAAATGAAATTTCACATGTAAGTAAAAGATCTAATTCCCTACCTTCTGTTAAATTTTGAGTAATTTCCGTTGACTGCAAGTAGTAATTTACGCTACTTCCGATTTCTCAAAAAACTAATGTAAATTTTAAAAGTACTAATAATATTGCGCACTATTATGCGCTTTTTTATTTGGCGTTCACTTGGTGTGCAATTAATTTGTCTACGAGATTTTATTCTATTTTTAAAACTTTAAGTATTTAAAATGGATTAAAATCATTTCTACAGCCCGAGTTCCCATCCCCTGTTATTTTATATAAGAATATTCGAGAAAGTTTAGGGGAGATCACTCCCGGTTTATTTAAAATTAACATTAAAACTTGGACCCTAATCCATTTATAAAGCGTGTTACGTAAAGCGGTTTAACTGCGTCAGTGTGTTTATCAGTGCATGCTGCAGTGTTAGTTATTTTATTGACACGCTTCGCCAGCCAGCTTTAGTATAGTACATTGCGATAAACAACGGGCTACAGTCCTGTGCTAGCGACTGCTACATGTAGCCGTGTCAGAGAACATTGCCATCATGTTGTGTGTGTTCAGCTGTGTGGTTCTTCTCGTCATCACGTATTTGTTCTTAGACAGGGTCCCGAGAGCCTTGAAGGTCGGTAACCATGGCAACAAGTACGTTTTCGTCACGGGATGTGACTCGGGGTTTGGCCAGCGACTCGCTGTGTAAGTGTTTGTTTACGTTTTGAATGGTCATCTTCACAACGAAGCTAAGTGAATTTTTAACTTGGAATATTTTACGGTTTAACCACGATATGCTTAACCGTGTAGGCTACTAAGACAAAGAACTCATATATGAACTATCGTTGTTTAAAGATTTAGCTCTGCGGTTAATTTAATAAATTTTAAAATAGAATCGAGAGTTAACACACTTTCTGGACGTCTAGACGGCTAAATCAAATTTAAAAACTATCTAAAATAACTTTTTTAAAATCGTGAAGATCATTTTTGAAATTTAAGTTGAGTTTTAAGGACAGCAAAGCAATAATAAAAAAGATAATGTTTATAAACATTTATATAGTTATATATTTTTTCCAATGAACACCACATTTTCTAGCAAAAAATTTAAACATACTCATCCCACAAATATAACATGTACATAAAACATCATTTTACACACATCTAATACTACCCCCACCCTCACAACCACACACACACACAGAGAAACACATGCACGCCTAAGAAACTCTTTTACCGAATGACCACAAAATATTTTCGTTTTTGCCAGAAAATATGAATTTTTAAAAATATCTGTTGTGAATTCAATCATTTTAAGAACAATAGAATTGTATATATTCATAAGTAGAAACTACTGAGTTAAAAGGAAAATGTTAGCTTATGGCTCAACGCATAAATAAAATACGTGTAAGCTAGTCTATGTCAATAAAGTATACCTCTATGATATGTATGCTTTTTAGTACGTGTAAGAAAGGACCCTTTCGAACCTTACGGTAGAGGTCACATTGTCAGCATTATGCCCAAACCCCTTTACTTTCCCTAACTTGAGTCAGGTACTCATCAGAGCACGGTGGATCCGAACTCTAGACTTTCGGATAGGCAGACAAATGCTCTACGGTTCGACCATGCCGTATCTTTTTGAGTACGTCTACGTGTACTTTGAACAGTGAGTGAGTACAAACTTCACGTGCATGAAACTTACATGGCGAGTCGTTGTCCAAATCCCGAGTCACATCCAGTAACAAAAACATACTTGTTGCCATAGTTACCGACCTTTAAGATTCTCAGCACGCGATCAAAGAACAGGTATGTGATGACGAGAAGCACTACACAGCTGACCACACTCAACATGGCGGAGGTTTTCACACTAACTGCTGGCAAGTAGGTTACAGCAACTATTTGTAGGCAGGTTACAGACACTGTTTGTAGGTTTGTTAAAACAACTGTTTGTAGACAGGTTACAGCAACTGTTTGTAGGCAGGTTACAGACACTGTTTGTAGGTTTGTTAAAACAACTGTTTGTAGACAGGTTACAGCAACTGTTTGTAGACAGGTTACAGCAACTGTTTGTAGGTAGGTTACAGCAACTGTTTGTAGGCAGGTTACAGCAACTGTTTGTAGACAGGTTACAGACACTGTTTGTAGGCAGGTTACAGCAACTGTTTGTAGGTGGGGTACAGCAACTGTTTGTAGGCAGGTTACAGACACTGTTTGTAGGCAGGTTACAGCAACTGTTTGTAGGCAGGTTACAGCAACTGTTTGTAGGTGGGGTACAGCAACTGTTTGTAGGCAGGTTACAGACACTGTTTGTAGACAGGTTACAGCAACTGTTTGTAGGTAGGTTACAGCAACTGTTTGTAGGCAGGTTACAGCAACTGTTTGTAGACAGGTTACAGCAACTGTTTGTAGACAGGTTACAGCAACTGTTTGTAGACAGGTTACAGCACTGTTTGTAGGCAGGTTACAGCAACTGTTTGTAGGTGGGGTACAGCAACTGTTTGTAGACAGGTTACAGCAACTGTTTGTAGACAGGTTACAGCAACTGTTTGTAGACAGGTTACAGCACTGTTTGTAGGCAGGTTACAGCAACTGTTTGTAGGCAGGTTACAGCAACTGTTTGTAGGTGGGGTACAGCAACTGTTTGTAGACAGGTTACAGCAACTGTTTGTAGACAGGTTACAGCAACTGTTTGTAGACAGGTTACAGCACTGTTTGTAGGCAGGTTACAGCAACTGTTTGTAGGTGGGGTACAGCAACTGTTTGTAGGCAGGTTACAGACACTGTATGTGGGTAGTTTAAAACAACTGTTAATAGGTAGGATACAATTCTTGGTGCTCAACCATACGATGCACCTGTGCGGCTACCACGGTCGACTGACCATATCGATTCGTGTAATTAGCTGCTATATTTCTCAATGTAAAGTGCATTATGTCAGTGCATAGTATATTCCAAAAGGTTTTTAATTTTTTTCCCTTTTTTAAAAAAAAATAATATGTCGTTATTTTAAAGTTATCACACTGGATCAATTTTATTTGATAAACACTTCTATGCACACAGATGAACATCAATATTTACACACACCCATATAGACATCTATATTTACACACCCAAATAGACATCTATATTTACACACCCAAATAGACATCTATAATTACACATCCAGATAGACATCTATATTTATACATCCAGACAGACATCTAAATTTACACACCCAGAAAGATAATTAGATTTACATACACCCAGATAGCCATCTATATTTACACACACATTTAGGCATCTATAATGACATACACATATATAGACATCTACATATACACACAATCAAAACAAATTCCAAGATTGTTATGCACCCAGTACACAAAAACAACTCTTATAAAGCAAATGCACATATAATTGTGTAAACATTATGCTGAAATATGAAAACTTACTTAAATTATGACTAGTCCCATTTCTTGTCATAACTTATTTTTATTTCTGTTGTTTTATTTTTGTTATCAGGCGACGCCCCTGTAACATTAGACTGCTTTTAGCTATGAGCACGTGACCTGACACCGATGACTAACCAAGCGTGACAGCTACTAATCGACTACCCATCGCTGTTTTTTTTTTGTTTTTTTTTTTTAAATTACAAGTGTCAGTTTTAGTAACCATGGAATATGTGGTCAGCTGTGTTGTGCTTCTGGTCATCACCTACCTGTTCTTTGATCGCGTGCTGAGATCCTTGAAGGTCGGTAACTATGGCAACAAGTATGTTTTTGTTACCGGATGTGATTCGGGCTTTGGACAACGACTCGCCATGTAAGTTGTGTTTGAGGACTTCTTTTCTTTGTAGTTGATATCTAAACACATTTTCTATTGGTGTAAAAGTACATCTTTAAAATTCCATTTTCAAAAAGAAGAGTGCGTCTTTATAATTCCATTCTCTTCCACGATTCCATTGTTTATCTATTCTAAACATCCTAGTTGTGTATATATATATATATATATATATATATATATATATATACATATATATATATATATATATATATATATATATAAATATATATATATATATATATATATATAATTTATATATATGTATATATATATAATTTATATATATGTATATATATATATATATATATATATATATATATATGTATATATATATATACTATGTGAGAAATTCAAATTCCCCTATCATGCATGACGTATGCCGCCTACTCCATTATAACTAAGAATTGATTTTTAAATTAATTATTAGAAGAATGCATTGAGTGTTATATATTAGCCGTCTAGACGGCCTAGGTTTCCACGTATTTGCTGGATGTCTGACAGACGAAGGAAGAAAATATTTAAGCTCCAACTGCTCCAAACGTCTTGTGACGGTACCTTTGGATGTAACTAAAGGGGAGAGTATCCAGGCAGCGCTACAGCTGGTCAAAGGGACGCTACCGGAAAACTCTGGTACAGTTTTTTTATTTTTTTTTCGACGTTTTTAAAAGAAATACAGGAGAATCTTAAATTGTTTTTATGTTTTAAATTGAAAATTTTTGAAGCACTTTTGTATTTTAACATATCTTAACATACCAGATGCAGTGTTAAATGTGGTCATGGTTCATAATTTGTGTGTATGTCACTGTTTTGACTTAATTTTAAATCTAATTAACTTTAACAAAATATGATGTAGCGTGTACATTAAAGCTTTTAGCTGTACCAGCTGTTGCTGAAGCTGATGTTACACTGTGTGATCAGTGTATGCCATCTCAATTTCTGCTAGAGTTCCATATAGGGTTTCCTTGTCTAACATCGCATTGAAACGCACCAACATAATTTGCGTTTAAACAATTTTAAAATACTTTAAAAATTAGCTAAAACTTTAAAAAAGGGCAGTAAATGATTGATTAGCATTACATTATTTTAAATATTTTGAAAAAAAAATCAACTTAAAAATACTTTTAGAAGTTAGCTTGTAAATTTACAAAGGGCAACACTAGCAGTTAATGATAAGCATTTTATTGTTTTAAATATTTAAAAAAAAAACAACGTTAAAATACTTTTAAAAGTTAGCTGATAACATAACTAATACATTTTTAAACAGTGCAACACAAGCAGTAAATGATACCACAAAAACAAATGTATTTAATGTATCTATCTGTATTTATTATTTTATTTTGTGAAGTCTCAGTAAAGTGACTAAACAGCTGCAAAAACAAAAGAGTTGCTTTCCCTGTTTTTTCTTCATCAAATTTTGCATTTTCGTTTCATATTTAGTAAGTGGGAATTGTAAAGAAAGCAAAAAAAAAGTTGGTTTGGTTTTAATGAGTCATCTGAATGATGTTTTCAATATTTTATATACTTTTCTATATATACGCGAATTTTATGATAAATAGTTCATAACAAGCAGAAAGTTTCATAGTATTTTTTTTTTTAATCCACAGGTCTGTGGGGTTTGGTCAACAACGCCGGTATAGCAGGATTAGCATGCTTCAGCGAGATCTGTATCCCTGAGGATTATCACCAGGTGTTCGCGGTCAACTTGTTCGGAGCTATAGAAATGTCAAGGGCGTTTCTACCGCTTCTAAGGAAGGCGGGTGGTCGGTTGGTAGCGACTGCAAGTGTGTGTGGGAGACTCGCCGCTGCTGCTGCCCCGTACACGGTGTCGAAATTTGGTTTAGAGGCTTACATGGACCTTCTGAGGTGAATTTACATTTGGTTTAGAGGCTTACATGGACCTTCTGAGGTAAGTTAACATTTGGTTTAGAGGCTTACATGGACCTTCTGAGGTGAGTTAACGTTTGGTTTAGAGGCTTACATGGACCTTCTGAGGTAAGTTAACATTTGGTTTAGAGGCTTACATGGACCTTCTGAGGTGAGTTAACGTTTGGTTTAGAGACTTACATGGACCTTCTGAGGTGAGTGAACGTTTGGTTTAGAGGCTTACATGGACCTACTGAGGTGAGTTAACGTTTGGTTAAGAGGCTTACATGGACCTTCTGAGGTGAGTTAACGTATGGTTTAAAGGCTTACATGGACCTTCTGAGGTGAGTGAACGTTTGGTTTAGAGGCTTACATGGACCTTCTGAGGTGAGTTAACGTTTGGTTAAGAGGCTTACATGGACATTCTGAGGTGAGTTAACGTTTGGTTTAGAGGCTTACATGGACCTTCTGAGGTCAGTAAATATTTGGTTTAGAGGCTTACATGGACCTTCTGAGGTGAGTGAACATTTTAGAGGCTTACATGGACCTTCTGAGGTGAGTTAACATATGGTTTAAAGGCTTACATGGACCTTCTGAGGTGAGTGAACGTTTGGTTTAGAGGCTTACATGGACCTTCTGAGGTGAGTTAATAACTTATTTAGAGGCTTACATGGACCTTCTGAGGTGAGTTAACGTTTGGTTTAGAGGCTTACATGGACCTTCTGAGGTGAGTTAACGTTTGGTTTAGAGGCTTACATGGACCTTCTGAGGTGAGTTAACGTTTGGTTTAGAGGCTTACATGGACCTTCTGAGGTGAGTTAACATTTGGTTTAGAGGCTTACATGGACCTTCTGAGGTGAGTTAACGTTTGGTTTAGAGGCTTACATGGACCTTCTGAGGTGAGTTAACGTTTGGTTTAGAGGCTTACATGGACCTTCTGAGGTGAGTTAACGTTTGGTTTAGAGGCTTACATGGACCTTCTGAGGTGAGTGAACATTTTAGAGGCTTACATGGACCTTCTGAGGTGAGTTAACGTATGGTTTAAAGGCTTACATGGACCTTTTGAGGTGAGTTTACATTTGGTTTAGAGGCTTACATGGACCTTCTGAGGTGAGTGAACATTTTAGAGGCTTACATGGACCTTCTGAGGTGAGTTAACGTATGGTTTAAAGGCTTACATGGACCTTCTGAGGTGAGTTTACATTTTAGAGGCTTACATGGACCTTCTGAGGTGAGTGAACATTTTAGAGGCTTACATGGACCTTCTGAGGTGAATTAACGTTTGGTTTAGAGGCTTACATGGACCTTCTGAGGTGAGTTAACATTTGGTTTAGAGGCTTACATGGACCTTCTGAGGTGAGTTAACGTTTGGTTTAGAGGCTTACATGGACCTTCTGAGGTGAGTTAACATTTGGTTTAGAGGCTTACATGGACCTTCTGAGGTGAGTGAACGTTTGGTTTAGAGGCTTACATGTAACTACTGAGGTGAGTTAACGTTTGGTTTAGAGGCTTACATGGACCTACTGAGGTGAGTTAACGTTTGGTTTAAAGACTTACATGGACCTTCTGAGGTGAGTTAACGTTTGGTTTAGAGGCTTACATGGACCTTCTGAGGTGAGTTAACAACTTATTTAGAGGCTTACATGGACCTTCTGAGGTGAGTTAATAACTTATTTAGAGGCTTACATGGACCTTCTGAGGTGAGTTAATATTTGGTTTAGAGGCTTACATGGACCTTCTGAGGTGAGTTAATAACTTATTTAGAGGCTTACATGGACCTTCTGAGGTGAGTTAACGTATGGTTTAGAGGCTTACATGGACCTTCTGAGGTGAGTTAACGTTTGGTTTAGAGGCTTACATGGACCTTCTGAGGTGAGTTAACGTTTGGTTTAGAGACTTACATGGACCTTCTGAGGTGAGTTAACGTTTGGTTTAGAGGCTTACATGGACCTACTGAGGTGAGTTAACGTTTGGTTTAGAGGCTTAGATGGACCTTCTGAGGTGAGTTAACGTTTTGGTTTAGAGGCTTACATGGACCTTCTGAGGTCAGTGAACATTTGGTTTAGAGGCTTACATGGACCTTCTGAGGTGAGTGAACGTTTGGTTTAGAGGCTTACATGGACCTACTGAGGTGAGTTAACGTATGGTTTAGAGGCTTACATGGACCTTCTGAGGTGAGTTAACGTTTGGTTTAGAGGCTTACATGGACCTTCTGAGGTGAGTTAACGTTTGGTTTAGAGGCTTACATGGACCTTCTGAGGTGAGTTAACGTTTGGTTTAGAGGCTTACATGGACCTTCTGAGGTGAGTTAACGTTTTGGTTTAGAGGCTTACATGGACCTTCTGAGGTGAGTGAACGTATGGTTTAGAGGCTTACATGGACCTTCTGAGGTGAGTTAATAACTTATTTAGAGGCTTACATGGACCTTCTGAGGTGAGTTAACGTATGGTTTAGAGGCTTACATGGACCTTCTGAGGTGAGTTAACGTTTTGGTTTAGAGGCTTAAGTTGACCTTTTGGGGAAATATTTTAACGACATATTTATATTTTCATCGTTATTAAATGTTAAGTATAAACGTGTCTTTGATTCTAAAAACATGCATATTTCTTGAAATATGAATGTTATGTTTAAAATCTACATTTAAAAACAACTTGTTTTTTTTAAAACAACATGATGTAAAAAAAATTTCTTCCAATGCGATTATTTTGTTTAAAATATATATTTATAACAAAACTATATTTAGACGTGAACTCTATAACAAAGGGGTCAGGGTGATTCTGGTGGAGCCCGGGGCGTTCAAGACGACCATCTATGATGTTGAGCAGACGGTGGCTCGAGTGAGGTCAGCGTACAACAGGGCCAGTGAAGAGGTGCAGGACACCTACAGGGCAGCCATGGCTAACCGTAAGGGATCCTTATGACGTGGTTGATTATAGAATGTTTGTTAGACATGTAAAAGTTAAAAGAATAGGTAATAAAAAATTTATAGAGAAATGTTTAATGTAAGATTTAATAAAATAATTTATAGAAAAATACCTAATATTATAGTTAACAGAATACTCAACAGAATGTTTGTGAGAAATGTCTCCTGTTTAAATTATATATGACGTGATTGTTAACTACATGTTTGTTGAGAAATATTTAATGTAAGAGATGGCAACGGCGGAATTTTTAACAGAATATTTGGAGAGTAATGTCTACTCTACGAGTTGTTTTTTTTTGGGGGGGGGGACTTGATTGTTAACAGAATATTTACAAAGACACGTCTACTTAACATGTCTACTTATAATGCAAAACTGCAGCTAAAATGAGCTTTTAATTTTTGTTTCAACCCCTTTTGGCACCCCCAGGGTCGGCGCCCGGGGACATATGTACCCCTCCTCCCCCCCCCCCCCCCTCCGCGACGCTTCTGATAGAATATGCTTAGAGTTATATAAGACGTTATTGTTTTTTTTTCTCTACTTTAAACTCGTGTCGCTGATTTTGTACTTGAATGTTTCTCACTTATATATTTTTTGTAAACATATTTGATTGGTGTGATGGCTTTATTGTTAAACTCATAAACAGCTTTCTTATAGCTCCACTATTTGCGCAGCGGATTATTATCTCTTTTCCGTACAGTACATCGGAACTGCTCCGTATTAACCTGATCCAACTCTCTGTTACAGATGAAAGAAACCTGAATCGACTTGTGGCTTCCAGCAACCCCAACCTTGACCTTGTAGTGGACGACTACATCCACGGCCTGACCTCCAGGTATCCTAGGACCAGATACTCACCTGGCACTGATGCTAAGCTGTTCTACATCCCAGTCTCCTACCTGCCGACACGCTTCACTGACTGGCTGCTACAGACGCCTTAGTCTGGCTACATTCTAATAAACCAATGGTAAAAATATCAGAAAAATGTGTGTAACCGGGTGTTGCTTTGTAGCTTGTTTTTTTTTTTTTTTGTTGGACAAAAGGTTATGGAAGCAAATCCTAGCAAATTAGATTTATTTAATCATCTAGATTTTTGGCTCGAGTGCCACTTTGTGGTAGCGGATTTTAGCGGAGGGCCGCACCGTTAAAAAAGATTGTATTAAATACGAGACGAACTTTCGGTCGCGGACATGATATATCTCAGTTCAATGCTGGGTTTTCTAAATGTCTGGCGAGCTACAAAAGATCTGCCGCATGTGGCCCGCGGGCCGCACTTTGCTAACCCCTGGTCTAGAAAATAAGTTTAACACATAGGCATAATTTTCATAAACATAAATAACATTTCATTTTAGGTTATTCCAATCCTTAAAAAATAACACATAATTGATTATTAATTAATTAATATGGCACTTAGTCAAGAATTATTTACGAGAGTCTAGATAATGTTTCTGATCGATAATCATCTACTATCCCGACAGCCATCAGTATTTTTTTATTATCGATTTTGAATTGATACAGATCAGGCTGTACTGTGATAGGAGGCGGGTAATTGATCATATGACAGGAGTCATATTTGTATTTAAAGTACCACCACCAAACATTTTTTTAAATGAAATATATCACACATATACAAACTTTATTACGCTTGTGATGATGTTTAAGGTTGTTATTCGAAAGGTTTTTTCCTAAATATATTTTTAACTATTCGTTCAATACAAAATTGACAACACACAGTCAACTATTATAAATATTTGATTCGATCTGTAACTTGCTCGCTCTAAAGAGCAGTTATCTACCCTTCCTTAGTCGGTGGCGGACGCTTCGGCAAATAATCAGCAAGTCGTTAAAAAACATTTCACCACAACAGACAACTGACAGAGCTATCATAGGTATTTAGGTTTGTTATCGCCCCTTTTATTACTAAATTTTGTACTTTTGTTATAAAACTTTTAATGACAAAAATGTCTAGCTACATTAAAAAAAATAAAAATTTATATTCTTGCATTGTCATCGTAGACGAACGCGTCGGGAAAGTTTAAACAAAAATGCTGCACTAGAGGTCTGACAAAATTAAGTTACAATATTTGCTACATCCCCAAAACAGACGACATGTTTATACGTGTCTACCGATATCTATATGTGTAATAACAGCAACTATAGTTGGGATTTTATGCCTGAGACGGTAGAACGAGCCCATCAATTACTGATAGGTGTTTGACTCACCTTAAGAAAAGTATAGGCATGGGGAGTTGTGAAATATGTCCTTTCGTGAGCAGACTGCAGAGGTCACTACAACAGGGGAACTCAACTTCGTTTTTTTTTTGCCACGCCACCCCCCCCCCCCCCCAGTCGTATCAATTATTTTTGTGCCCTTGAAGTATTCTAATATCTTATCACAACACAATATCTTGAAACGTAACAACGAATGGGTGTAACGTAAACGCTATATAAAAGAAAAAGAATATGACGATTGAATTTTTTTTTTTGTTATATTTAATTTCTTCCACAAGTGATTCCAGATTATTCAGGTAGACTGCAGGTGTACACACCACCTTAACCAGGGATAAACCTGCGGCTACAGGTGTAAAAAATACCTTTATCAGCGCTGATCTTGGCAGCCGTTTCGTCACGTGACGTAATCAGAGAGTTCTGGACACAGGTCAGACCAGGTCGGCACCCACAGCCAGAGTTGAAGCTAGAACATCTCTCGCCTTCGTTTAAGTACGGCTGGCATGTTTCTGGGGGCAGGAGAGTTTATTTTAGTTAAATTGTGAAATGAATGTGAGAACAATCGCTATTTTGATAACGTTTTTTTAAATTGACTTTAGTAACGGTCCCTTAACTAAGGCTAAGGGGGGTGGGGGGGCGTGGTGTTATTGTTATGTCACCCTACACTGTTGAGTTGTTGGCAGATTTTTTATTTTATTTTTAAAAAATATTTTGTTCCGTTCATTTTTATGTATCTTGATAAATGCGTTTTCTATTTATCGATCCGCGTTTTTTTTAATAAAGTAAAAAAATTAAGTGTCTCTATTTTTTAAATGGGTAAAATACTCTGTTAATATTTTCAACATTAACGTACTACCATGATTATTTCCCCTAACAAAAATTAAATTTTGAAAAATAAAATTGGAACTGGAGTGAAGCTGTTGTTGGTTAGTGTGACAATTGTAGTGTAGGTCTGATGTATCCTGAAGATCTTTTACGGTGTGCGTGTGTGGGGGTGAGGGGGGGGGGAGTTAAAATAGCATAATGTTTTTTTAATAAACTGTACATAGGTTGATGTCGCTTATTTTCTCCATTAATCAGTATAACGGGTCTAGTTCTATTCAAATATTTGTGTTACATAATAAGACTCAACGAGTCACAAGTGTCCCCAGAAGGACTAGTGGATGATGTGTTTACCGCTATAAATTATAACAGTGCTTCAGAGTTTATTTAAAAAAAAAAATATGTTATCGTTTTTTGCCTCCAAAAATGTTCTTAACAACAATCCTGTCAAAATAAAACTGTTTTACACAAAAAGTGGTTAACATTAAAACATATATGCTTATACAAAATAATTCATTGGGTAACTGAAATAGTATTGTAATAGAGGATAAAATCGAAAATATTATCAAAAAAAGAAATGAAATAGAAATGGATTAGAATATTAATATGAATGAAATAGAATTATAATATGTCAAAAAAGGTATTAGGAAAACAATAGAAATATAGGATAAATGTATGAAATGTAACATGAAAAGAAGAAAATGTAAAATAAATTTATTTGAGTAGGCCCTACAAACAAAAAAATAACTACAAAAAGAATAACGATTGTGCATTACTCGTGCCGATAGGAAGGACGACAAATCTTTTCCTGCTGGCTATTTGGATGTTCTCCGTACAGCATTCGTCGCATCCACAATCGGATTTCCTGACACAGCTTGCACCAGGAACTGCCTGTTTGAGAGACGGAATTTAAGGGATTGTTGCAAAAATAAATACAATATGTGTGAATATATATATATATATATATATATATATATATATATATATATATATATATATATATATATATATATATATATATATATATATATATATATATATATATGAATCAGAAAAGTAAATTAAATTTACGCAAAGTACATAGTTTCAACATCACTTACCCAGGTAACAGACATAAAACATATGCAGAAACCAAAAAGTAACAATTCTCCAGCCATGTTAAACATATTTTGCTTTATTATACTACTAACATCTGTCGAATAGTATTGTCCTAATCTACAGTTATATAGTGTTTAATACAAAATGGCGGCTAACTGCAAAAGTCATCAACAGCCTAAGGCTATTACCTGATATAAAAAGCAATCAGCTACAAAGCCTGTTTCCTAATTAGTTGAGTTGCACGTTCTTCATTTACTCACCTTCCGTCAAAACAAGAGTAGCTGTTAGTGCCAGCTGTTGAGTTCAGTTAAACAAACATCCAGTGAAGAAAACATCCAGTTTAACAAAACATCACGTCAACCAAACATCATGTCAACACAACATCACACCAACACAACATCCGACCAACAAAACATCATGTCACAGTGAACAAAACATCCAGCTTAACAAAACATACAATCAACAAAACATCACGTCAACACAACATCACATCAACAAAACATCAGGTCAACAAAATATCCAGTCAACTAAACATCACGTAAACACAACATCACCTCAACAAATCATCACTTTAACAAAACATAACGTCAACACAACATCACGTCAAAAAAACATAACGTCAACACAACATCACGTCAACACAACATCACGTCAACACAACATCAAATCAACAAAACATCACGTCAACAAAACATCACGTCAACACAACATCACGTCAACACAACATCACGTCAACAAAACATCACGTCAACACAACATCACTTCAACAAAACATCACGTCAACACAACATCACGTCAACACAACATCACGTCAACACAACATCACGTCAACACAACATCACGTCAACACAGCATCACGTCAACAAAACATCATGTCAACACAACATCACGTCAACAAAACATCACGTCAACAAAACATCACGTCAAAACAACATCACGTCAACACAACATCATGTCAACACAACATCACGTCAACACAACATCACGTCAACACAACATCACGTCAACAAAACATCACGTCAACACAACATCACGTCAAAACAACATCACGTCAACACAACATCATGTCAACACAACATCACGTCAACACAACATCACGTCAACACAACATCACGTCAACACAACATCACGTCAACACAGCATCACGTCAACAAAACATCATGTCAACACAACATCACGTCAACAAAACATCACGTCAACAAAACATCACGTCAAAACAACATCACGTCAACACAACATCATGTCAACACAACATCACGTCAACACAACATCACGTCAACACAACATCACGTCAACAAAACATCACGTCAACACAACATCACGTCAAAACAATATCACGTCAACACAACATCATGTCAACACAACATCACGTCAACACAACATCACGTCAAAACAACATCACGTCAACACAACATCACGTCAACATCAAGTCAACACAACATCACGTCAACACAACATCATGTCAACAAAACATTAGGTCATCAAAACATCATGTCAACAAAACATCATGTCAACAAAACATCACGTCAACACCCAGTTATTGAACACCACTCTTTAAAATCAATAAGTCGATCATGTGTGTTGTGTTTTGTTGCTAGTCAGTGCATCATTGGACATAGGTCAAAGTTCGCTGTGGAAGTTTTGAGGTTAAAGCCTGAGCTTTCCTTGCAGTCAGAGAAGGTTGATGTTTCCTTCTATTTGAACTAATTTTAAAAATTTAATTTTGATAGTCGGTGTTTCTGTCATACATTTTTCTCCGGCAGGGTGGGGTGGTGGCACTTAAAAGGTTTCAGTGGGGTAGGGGTGGCAGACATTTTTTAGGGGGTGGGGGGGGGCAACGGTTGACACAGGTTAAATTTGTCTTTATAGATTATTTTACTGTGTAAAACTGACCAACATTCGTTTGGGTTTTATACTCTAATTTTATTTCAGTTACGTGTGATAGTAACCGGATATTTTTATGTTGACGCCGAGTTTTATTTATGTTTTCTCATTTCCTCTGTCTTGTCGCTACACATCTGATTGGCATACATTCGTGGAGCTTCATTCAGCCTTGATTTTATTGACGGAAGCTCAGATGGGTTACCGTTTACATTAAATAACAGGACGTCACCCTAGATCCATACAGTTTTAAGAGATGTATGTAATGTTGGTTTATTGTAGGTGGATCTAGTTTAATGTGAATTAGGTTAAGGGCTAGGATTCTATATGTAAATATGTATATATATGTAAATATGTATATATATGTAAATATGTATATATATATATATATATATATATTGTTAATACCACCAAAAAATAATTAAAATATTTCAACAGGACCAGTTAATGACTACTATGTACCAAAACTAAACATGCTTTGCAAATTAATCTATGCACTTAACTCAATTATGTAATTCTTAGTTCAGCATATTTACAAATTGAACGAGTTCAGGGCATTGATTAACAGAGGGTGGCGATTATTTGTTGATTATTTGTTGATTGTAATCTGAGATTAGACAAAAAAATTTTTATTATCCATTGATTGTGTGTGGTCGGATGAGTAAACACATGGTTACCAACCCGAAAGTTTCGAGTTCGAATCTTCGGGAAAATGATGCTCGTCAGCTGGAGCCAGCAACCCATCTAGGGGAGAAAACTCCAAAATCAAACAAAAGTGGAGCCCCTTAGGCGATAGTGTTACCAACCCTGAATTCCTTTCGGCAGCTCCTGCGACACTGCTGATTCTAAGCTGTACACCTGCCCCGTAGTCCCGTTAGGCAACTTTATTATTCACATTAAAAAAAACTATTTGAAAAAAAAATTTAAGATTGACATGGTATCAATTACTCTAACATCTCAGTAATTTAGGCACTATAGGTCTTATGTAGAATAAAGGAGGTACTTCAGAAACTTAACTTACGCGATTAGACCCTATTCTTTCAAATTTAATTTTAACCCACATTAGCCACTGCCACAGCTAAACAAACAAAGATTTCTTTAAAATAATTAAGGCCTGGAATAGTTTAGTATAGAAATTTATAATTGGAATAGATTCTAGATCTAGATAGAGTCTAGATCTAGATCTAGATCTATCACAATATTTAGAGTCTATAGAGTCTAGTTTATTCGTAAATCTAGATCTAGAAATTAGAATCTCTAGATCTAGTTACATCTAGATTTAATCGACCTATATCTGATCTAGATCTAGAATCTCTAAAAACACTTTTCTGGTTGCAACATTCGAATATGCCCATATTTTTATTTTTCTTGTTTGAATAAAATTGTGTTTATACATTTAAAACATATAACATATTATTTTCAACAAAAGTTCGTATCAAGTTCTCCATATATCGCAGAAGATACTGAATCATAGGCAGTGAAATATTTTGCGGACAGAGAGAGAGGGAGAGAGAGAATTGCGCACATGGTTTTTTATATATTAGAATTAACAAGAAGATAAATATAACTCACAAAATTAGTATTCCATTGCTTTGGGACGTTTTTATCATGAGCCTAATTAAGGACATGTCATACGAGCTACTTCCCATTTATAAAATTTAATATGCTAAGGGATGCAACCCTCTGTAATATTCACAAAATTTGTTAAAAGTTATATTTAAGAAATACAGTATTAAACTATGTTTTATCACAATTTATTTATTTTTAAATAAATATTTAAAAATTTTAATAATCAATCATTGGAACCATTTTTAATCAAAAATATTAAATTATTGCTGATCATTGTTTTATGAAGCAAGAACAATATTTTGTTAATACTAATTATATAGCTACGAGCGTTCTTGGTGTTTGTAATCGGCGAGGCTTTGCCTATCGTCATTATTTCCATTTTTCAATTATTAAAAAAAAAAACAAGCACATTAGAGCAGGGGTCGGCAACCTGCGGCCAGAGTTTCTTCCAGGCATCTCTTCGGGGGGCCAAGTCCCCCCCCCCCCCCCCCCGAAAAAATTTTACCGCCCCCCCCCCCCCCCCCGCCCGAACGAAATGAAATTTATTTATTTATATATAGAAAATGTATACTTTTAACAGTGTCCGCCCCCCCCCCCCCCCCCGAAGAAAGTCTACCGCCCCCCCGAAAATTTCAAGTGCCCCCCCCCCGGAGAAAAAAGTCTGGAAGAAACACTGCCTGCGGCTCGCGAGCCGCATGCGGCTCTTTTGATATCAAGATGCGGCTCTCCAGCTCCTTGAACAAATACTAATAATATTAATAAAAAAATAAAATATTTGAAATAAAAAAAAGTTAGTGGCTCTTTAAAACCAGGGAAATTTTGAAAATTGTAACTTTTGACTCTTCCGCTTCAAAAGGTTGCCGACCCCTGCATTAGAGAGTTCATTTTCAAAAACAGGATTAGAAACATTAGCCACAAAACCTTAATACAAAATAAATTAAATGGAGGAATAGGGCTACACGACATTCAAACTAAAATAAACACCTTCCGATTAAAACACCTGGATAGAATAAGGATAGAACCACATTATCATCCATTAGCACAATACTACATTGGGTTAAACATAAAGAGCATTTTAAAATTACACATCATAACACCACACTTTGGGGGAAATGACATAGGTAGCTTTTACAAAGAAAACACACAAATTATATACAGCAGTAAAGTTCACTCACAATTTTGGTTTAACTCAGGGGTCGGCAACCTTTTAAGCCGAAGAGACAAAAATTACAATTTACAAAATGTCCAAGTTTTTAAAGAGACACAAATATTTTTTTTTACTTTTCAGTAATTTGGTATTTGATTAGGATTAGATATAAAAAATTTGATTTGCAATAAATAGCTTTAAAAATGAAAAAAATACTGATACTTAAAAACATACTCATATTTCGCACAAAACATAGTAAAATATTAAAATTAGTACTCAAATAATATATCTATACCACTATCTCAATCCACTTTAGAAGCCAATAACATTTTTTTTCAATACGGAAACCACTGGCCAAGGAGGTGTCTCCCATAGCCAGGCAGGCCTCAACACGACTAACTCCGACTACTGGCTTGGGTATCGGTCGCTTCTGTCTTCAGTTCTCACCAGGCTTATCTTCCACCCCACTAAAGGCAAGGTAAACTCGTACCCCACCGTCCATAACCCCGC